TATGTATGCATAAGTAAGGAGTGAGGATAGGGCAAGGATGTGGGAGGAAAGATTGCGAGCGGTCCGTGGCCCGTTTGTTAAATACTCCTTAGGTATTCGTCTGGTATTGATTGGGAAAAACACGGGAAACTGCTGGTTTCTAGAAGTTTCAATCACTTAGCGAATGAATTCGACCTATCTAGCTAGCTAGTGTTGAAAATATTGCTGCCGGGACTCGAACCTAGGAATGTTATTATTGAAATTACCTCAAGAGGGAGGCAAGGGACAGTAACGTTTGGAGAGTGGCAAATCAGCTGCAGCGGAATTTATTGACGTTGAAACGATTGCCGTGTGTGCCGATTGACGTATCCATAGTCTGTTGTGGGAACCTTCCACATTGAGTAGATTCGTAACAGCATGTACAGCACTTACGGGACTAATGACCTTAGCACTTGATGCGTCCGGAATCACTAATCAATCCATTTAAAATACTATCAAAAATCTCATCAAGTTCCATATTCGAGACTTTATCGTAACAAAAACCCATGCGTTGAAAACTATAAATAATATACCAATGGATTCGTCAATGTCCCCCACCCGGCATCATCAGCGAACCTTGGTAGACCCAAATTATCATCATCAACTTCAACTGCAAATGCAGCACCATACGTTTCGTATAGAAAGGATAGAATTATAAAAGTCTCAGTCTCCGGTGGCGCCAAATCATATGAATTCACTAAAGAATATTACAAGAACTTCACTACAGAAAATTAAACTATACAGTGCGAAAACTGCAGAAACAAACGAAAACTACTGCGGCCCCAGCTCGTCACCACCCCGTGACGTGCGTCACGTGACCGCCATGCAAGCGTAGGCCTGTGCGGCAGAGGCTGGCTATATTCTCTGCCGCTGAGGCCTTAAGTGCCGGAGGAGAAGGGGAAGGAGGAGGAGTGGGAGGAAGCAGATGTCCTGCTGCCGCGGCGCTGCCACACGAGCAGTGAGCGCTAGAGCATTTGCATTTGCCATTGTGTGACCGGTGTGTTCGCTGTGCAGTGATGCCGTCCAAGGCTCAGGGTCCTTGGGGTTATTTACTAAGACTTCCAGTGGGGTCCGGTGCTATAGGTAGGTGTTATATTCTTTTGTTTTAATATTGAAATCGTATTTTTTGGTGATTTTGTTTTTAATTCACGAAAGTTTTTTACATAAACCCTTCGATATTACTTTCCTATCCATAGTCTGGTCCATTACTAGTCTATCCATAGTGGTAGAAATAATTCAAATAATCAAATACTTGTATTTGTTTAAACTAGCTGAACACCTCAAAAACTGTAGAATCGGTACAATAGAATTGTACAACAAATGCACTATACGGAAATTTAAAAAAACCCAAAAAATTGTTCAATGTCTGTCAGTACTTATTCTCCAAGACTGATGAAATGAGGGATGGTTACAAATTATGGAACGATACAATCACAGAGTTAAACATGTTTCCGAAAATATAATTGATATGTTTTATATTTACCATTCTACATACATGTATGTTGCAGTGGATTATTGCAGAAAATTACGGCCATTACCTCAACCTAAAAACGTAAAGCATCACAAAACATTGTAAACACTGAACTTCTTTTTTTTTGTAGAGACATATTGCAACTCACGATTGCTCTACGTTACGTGTGTATCCACTCCATCTTCGAACTCAAAGGATCTCTACTTTCGCTTCGATATTATCTCATGAAACGTCGACTATTTTAAATATATTTTAGATCGAATTACACACACACACACACACACACACACAC